CTTGTTCTACCTTCCCATCCATGATAACAATGTCGGTAAAATTAAAGAAAGATTTTCCAATTAAATACTTAAAATATGATGTCTTGAAAATATTTAAGAAAATAGTAATCAACTCTTGTTCGAGTAATGACGATAAATTTGGGTTGCCAACCATGCCAACTTTGAGCATACTCCTTGATGGTTTCATTTAGACTTTTTTTCATGTCTCGCAAATCATATCAATTTAGAGCTACCTTTATATTAAACTTGTACTACTTGATAAAAGCATTGGCTAGATCCATCCACTTCTTGATCTTGGCCCTTTTAAGCCTCATGTACTAATTTAAAGAAAATCCTCTTTAACACTCATATAAGAAATATATCGGTAGTTTCTCATCGTATACTACTTCAGCCATCTTATTATAATATACCATTAAATGAATTATTGGACACCGAGTGCTCGTGTACTTGGTGAACCTTGATACTCTAAACTTCTTAAGAATTATCATATCGGGAGCTAAGCACATTTTAGTACCTCTTATCGGATCATACATATTAGCTCCTTCAATAGCCTTAAGGTGTTCTTCAATGGTACACAACTTATCCATGTTAGGCTCTTCCATTATCTTAACCACGATGGTCTCCTCGCTAGTGAGGTTTATAACGAGTGTACCTTCATATATGGTGCTTATAGGCCTATTGTATAAGTAAATGGTGTAATAGGGACGAAGTGTTAACATGGAATGTTGTTGCCTCTAGATTGTTGGGTGGAGCATTAAATGGCCTAGGCTATAAGTTTAGGATTGAAAGGGTGTATGGCATGTCACCTTAGGTTTAGGCTTGGTTTGAAATGCTTTCCCTATTTGGTAGTGCCGGTTATACCGTGTAATTTGACGAGGATAGAAAAACATGTGGTTTGGTTAATTAAATTGCATAAAACAAAGCTAAGTATAAATCAAAAAAGTAAAATCTATGTTCGCTCTCACTATTTTCTTCAAGTTGTATAACCTTCAATATAGGACTCGAGAAAACTTTTTGATTCATTTTTTTAGTGGGTTAGGATCCCATCCTCTAACGTGTATTAACCTTGAGTTATCTCAATAAGCCATACATGAAGAATTAGGTAGGTAATTCTTTATCAATTACATCTAATGTAATTCCTAATCTCATTGGCATGATAACTCTTTGTCACATCACATCTTATGTGAATACCGATTCTTGCCCATAAGTTTATTAGACCTTGAGTTATCTCAATAAACCCAACAACTCATTTAATTTAAATCTAATATTCGGAGACATCGCATGGACCATGATTTATTTTCCTCGAGAAAAAAGTGACCTTGGGTTATTTTAATAAGCCAACAACGACCAAGAGAGTTCCATTCTCATAATGTTGGTAGGCAATTAACTTGATATTTTCTTTGAAAGATTTAATTTAGTTGGTCTCATCCTAGTAAGCATACTAATCAATAATCATATTATTCCTAACATGCATACTAATATTAATTGCATAGTATATATATATCTTATGCATTACACAAAGGACCGATGAATGGTAATGAATTTCTAATATTAGACCCCTCGAGCCATAAGGAGACTATTGGGTCAAATTCCTAGGTGAAAAATTATTTAAATTCTTTAAGAATGTCTTCATTTCTTGACATCTTCTCCTTGCATCTATTCTAATTCCAATCGTCTACTTTTATATTTATTTGAATAAGAAACCTTGAGTTACATTTGATGGGAGTAAGATGAGGGGAGAAATACGATAGAGTATAAGAGAAGAAAGGACAAACATTCATTCCATAAAACTAGGTCGACTCATCCATATCATTCATCTATGATTCAATCACATTGATACATGGCATATTAATGAAATATATTTCATTCATGAAAGAATTATAAATCTATATTTTTTTGTCATTTTATAAATTTCTCTAAATTGTAATTTTAAAACTTTTCAAGCCTTGGGCCTATGGCCTTTTGAGCCTCAAGAGCCCACGAGGCTTCGACGCCCAAACCTCCGACTTGGTGCGCTCATGTTCATCTACACATGGCTAGCGACTTGACTCATGAGTGCCCGGCCGGTGGCCTCGCATGCCCGTCCTATGACGTGGCGCGCACGCACTTGGCCGGCGGCCTAGCAAGCCATGCGCATAAGCACACGACTCGACGCATAGGGCCGCTTATCGCACATGACCTCCCGGCTTGTTACGTGCTTAGAGCGCGACTAGCTAGGGGCTATCGCACGCTTAGTGTGCGACCGGACCTAGGTTTTTTTTATTCACGCGAGCACCGATGTCCAACGTCAACCTCACACACCCCCACTATTTTTAACCCAAATTTTAATTTTAAATTAATATTAAATACCAAAACACTAGATTTATAATCAAGCATAGTTAATTGATGCGATTAATCATAATTAACATAACATACAATCAAAGATTCAATGGAGGCTCGATACGATTGAAGGATCATGCATCCTATGAAAGTGCAGAATAAATAAAAAATTTTCTCCATTTAATGGGCCTAAGATCATGCTATTAATCAACTAACTATATATACATGAATTAAAACAATGAATAGAGAATTATCTCTTGTAGTATAGATCTAAATTCTTTAGCGGAAAAGTCATTTAAATGTATAGCCTCCGTTAATGATCCACACGGTCCAAGCATTTACAAAGAAGCACTCGAAATTGGTAGAGTGCTAGCTCCACCTTTTCCGATATATGTAATGTTTCTTATAGAAATCTAATTTGGGCAAGTTTGCGATAACTCAAGAGAAAAGGGATAGAGGGTGGCGTACTAGGTTTTTTTTAGGAAAAACTATTTTTTTTTCTTTCTTGGTCGTGTGCCTTCACCTTTTTTTTTTGTTGGTCAAATTCTCGCTCTCTCAAAAATTGCTTGTATGGCACACCTCTCTCTCTCTCTCTCTCTCATATATTTATTGGAGACTTTCTTGTCCTCCAAGGACAAGGTGGGGCAGCAATGAGTCCCTTAAGGAATCTAGGTTGTTGCTTTCTAATACTCTAAGAATTAAGAGTTATTTTACATGTGGGCTTTTTGATATTTATCTTTAAAACATTCATTCTTATCCAATAAAGTTGATGTTTATCCTCTTACCAAGATATCTTAATGCTTTTAATTAAACCTATTAGGTCAAAACCATTATGGTTCAATTAATTTATTTGGACTATCTAAATAAATAATCTTAGATAATTTTAGGCGGCTCACATTAGGAAATAATTTTCCATAGTATCCTTTAACCTAAATTAGGAAACTCATTTCCATTTTAGGTTATTTACTTCAAAATTTAGAACCAACTTCCAAATTAGGAAACTTTTTTCAAAATAGAAAACTTTCAAAATTGAAAAATTTTTCCAATGTCTTTGCTTCTCTTTAATCATATGAATACTTAAACTTATGCATGTGACACAATAAGCTTTTAGATATATTGGCAATCTATCAATAACAAAAGACTTCTCTTTTATCTCTTGATACATATATCAAGATTAGCCTCTAGTAAGGTATCATGACTACCTAATTCTCTAAAATGATTAATTAATTCATTATTACCTTTCATAAGCATGGTTACCATTTAATTTAGTCCTCATGTCAACTTATCATATTGTAATCTCAAACTTGATTATAAGTCTTATTTAATTATGATCACACAAGTTTTTTTTCTTGAAATACTTTTTATATTGGCATAGCTCTCATTTCTTTGACTTTGCATCCAAAATGATCAATATATTCATATAAAAATATTAGATATATTTTCTTCGTTAACTTCACATTTCACTACAACAAATTTTAAATTTAGCTACAAAAATATTCATCCCCAAACAATTGAAATTCGTCAACGAAAACAATTTGGGACGCATAACTAAATTGTCCCAAAAGCTACGTAACTAATTGTATTTTTAGACGCAAAGTGAGAATCATCCCTAAAGAAGTCATTGTAGACGAATTTGACTTTCGTTCATGAATGTCGATCATTTACGGATAATTATTTTCGCCTTAAAATATATCTATTTTCATCCACAATTAGTCCATTTCATCTACAATTGTGGAAGATTTGAGTGGGGGGAAAATATTTTTATTGACGATAAAAATTCATCCGTAAGTCCTTATCTTTTTTTTAGACGATAAATTTCATCCCTAATGACTTATTTTAAAAAGCCATCTATTAGGATTGAATCTATTTCAATTTTCAAAAGCCCGAAACCTTGTCAGCTGTCACTATCCAATGAATTCATAGTTGCCATGCATTTCTGTTAGAAGCTCAACAAAGGCTTAATCATATCGATGCACCTACACAACACAGGAAGGAGATCATTTGAAACAAAAAAACAGATTGCTAAACCAGACGATTAAAGACTAATAAATTCATATTTGCCATGCATTCATGGTTCCCTGTACATTCTTTGCCACAAGGCTGATTCAAGTAGAACTATGAATCTTTTGAAAGCTGTAAGCACAAAGGCATGCATCCTACCCTTTAGATGATTACAACTACATAGATAGGAAAAGTATAACAAAATATTGATGAATATTACAAAGGTAGCTGTAAGTTGTTTCACCTAAAGATAAGTAAAAGAAGTTAGGAATAAAGTATCCAAAAATGACAACCTAGCATTTATTGCCAATCTTGCTTCAACCTTCCCATATATCCATGCCGACATTGCTTCAAGTCCATGCACTAGGAAGCTGTACAGTTTCTAAGTCAGAGAAGTAACAATTTATTTCTGCCTACTCCAGCACTTCGGCCCTGTCACGTCAAGTCCTAATTGAAAGAACATACCAATAAGCCTAAGTTTGCAATGAGATTTAGTGATGCTGATGACTTTACGAAACATATGAGCACAAACGACATGGACCTAAACAAAGAAACATGTATTTCAGCCCAAATGCGAATAGAAGTTGACAAACTACTCAATGCACAATTAAATCATCCATTAGAAGAAGTCCCCACTCTCTATTTCTTATTTCTTCAATAATCTTTTCTGATTCTTCAGATCATTTTCCAGTAAAAGCAACCATGTTATATGTTGTCACCACAAACCCAGCATTTCCCTTGAAACGTTGTTTACTATCAGATGTAAAACGACAAATTTGATCTTGTGAAATGTCTGACCACAACGAGAACTGAAAGGCCCATTGATCAACAGAAACAACATTTGTTGCTAAACAAAGCAACTTTTCCTAATTCAACAAGCTGCAGAAACACCAACTAGAGACTTTCCAGCACCACATGGTAGAACAATAATGCCAGATCTTGCTCTACCTGAAATATCAACCACCATACTTCAATCATATGGTTCAGTCACTCCATGCTGAAGTGTTTTACATCCTATTGGAAGTAAATAAATCACAGAATAATAAGACATCTTAAAGTTGGATTCAACAAAGTACAATTTAATTGCAATCCGAAGATCATATTACCATTTCCAAACATTTTACTGAGACTTTTCTCTTGATATGGTCGTGGTTGTACATGAGGCTTTAATTCCATATTCAGGTCAGGGTTCACCTGCAGCATCAAAAGAGCATTAGCTAAAGTTGAAAACTCGACGTTTATACTCCAAAAAAGATCTGATTCTATAAAGTTGTTGCAGAGCTTCCACAAACAGCATCCCTAATTATTCATATTTGCCAACAAGACTATCCAGTCATCAATTCATCTTGATATCTATTGTATACTAATTCCATACCACAAGGCTTGTCAATGAAAAATCGACAGTAGGAGGTAGAAGTTATTTACAGTGTCATTTCTGAAATCATACTCCTCCAACATTGGATAATTTAAAGCATTTGGCAAGAACCGCTGCTTAACATTTTCAACCTATCAGAAGGAGAGACAACACAAAATTAACATAATTTGGCAAATTCACCTCAAATAATGAAAGAACATAACCATACTTGTGAAGGGTCAATTTCAAATCAGTGAGTTTCTTTTTCTTCTGCTGCAGCGGCCAATTCTGCTTCATTCAATAATCCATCATGAATAGTTCCAATTTCTCTCGCAGCTTTGCTAATTACAAATCCCTCATTTCCATGTCAACTCTACAGAGTTGTAAAATTATAAATAATTTCACGATTCAACTCACAGGGCAACAACAACGAAAATGGGAGGAATCCTACTACAATTTAAGAAACCTGGAGAGAAACAATGAAAGCACACACATTCATACATTCATACGACAAGTAGCTCTAAGCTATTCCAAAATCATGTAAGACTATTCAATTTAATGAAATTCGTGCTATAATAACCTTCAACTATTCCAACTCATCCTATAATATTGAATCCAATCAAATTAAGAATACAGACCTCGTATGGAATCCTATAATATTGAAGATCAAAGGGGCAAGTTTCGGTTTCAATCGAAATGAATTTCGGGAAGGAGAAGAAGAGAGGAAAGTGAGATCGGGGGAAGCAAAGAGAGAGAGTGGGAAGGAAGGAGGAGAAGAAGAAATAAAAAGACGAACTGGTTGAGGGAGAGAGAGGGAAGAAGAAGAGAGAAGGGAGAAGAACAAAGAGAGTGAAATTGGGAGAGAAGAAGAAAGTAAGAAGAGAAAGAGGGATATTGATCCAAAAAAAAAATTAGAGGAATTGATTTTGGGTGTTTTTAGTCTTAAGGGCAAGCCGAGGGACATAGATTGGGCCATGTTTCATTCGTTACAAATGTTTTTGTGCTTAATTCATATTTAACCTTATGAGATCACTTAAATTCGTCCCTAATTTATATTTAAACAAGTGGGACGATTTGGTATTTAGTCCTAAAATAATTTCGTCCCAAAATATTATAATTCATAATAAAATAATTTGTTTTCATCAAAGGTATGTGAATAAAAAAATTGGCCGTTGATGATTTTAGGACGAAATATGTATTTTATACAAAAATATTTATATTTTGGGACGAAAATGAATTCTTAGGTAAAAATTTCATAGTTAAATTTGAAATTTGTTTTAGTGCTTATTTCAGTCACATGACATCACAACACAATAAGTAATTTAATGTCAATTATCATTGAATAGTATAAATCATTTTTCAAATTATTTAAATTTATACCGAGTAATAAAATTTACACAAATAAATTAAAAGTATAGTTAATGTCACAAATTTTAATTTTCAATACTATCAATATTATTGACCATGAATAATAATATTTGATAGGTAATTATAAGTTATAAAAAAATTAACATACTAATCAATATCTTTGTCATGCAAATTATTTCATAAATATGCATATGTAGGAAAAAAGAATATAATTTTTTCATCAAAGATAATCTTGGTATCTCACTAGTCATATGATAGTAATAGTTTTCCAAGAGCAATAGTCCAATTAAGTAGAATCATCAAATATCAATAAAAAATCACAATAAACAAGTAATGACATTGATGTTATAAAAACATAATATTAAAATTTTCATGCCTAAATTTTTTCATGATTTTAAGCATTAAATGATGACATGGTATTGTCTCAAAATGTTGTTCCTAGCACAAAAAAGAAACATCATTAAATAATAAAAATTAACACAATAAATAAATAAATTTATTCTAAATTAAGATGGACAAGAGAATTGAAACTTGTTACCTTGACTCGTCAAAGAATTCCGGATTAAAATCACGTTATCATATTTCACAATGTAAAGATGACCGAATAAAAAAAATATTTTTACCATAATTTTTGATTAACTATCTCGAGGAACATCCAAGTTGTTTTTTTAGATGATATGCGCCATCTGCAAAATTTATCCGTGATGCAACAAATCAAAAATATATTGCACGTCATCTCGGAGATACAACAAGTCGAGTTACCTTATCATATATTAACAAGTTTCTTAACAAGCTTGCACTACTTATAAGGCTTAAAACTCTAAATAAAATTAGCACCACTCTTACTCAAAAATAGAACTAAAAAATTATATGCCTTATTTTTTTAATTGGTAGTTTAAAAAATAAAACAAATGTTTAATTAGATGATGCTATACATTTTCCTTTCCTTACCAAAGTATCTCCTGTACTATCTATTAAACTCTCTCTCTCTCTCTATATATATATGTTTTTAATAATCAATTATTACAATTAAAATTAAAAGCGCCAAGTAACGTTAACGTAACAAAAAGTTTTTTTTTTAATTTTCTTTTTAAAAAGAATTGGGCTGTTATGAAACTGTTATCAAAACAATTTCAAAGATGCTACAAATCTAATTAAAATGACTGGCTTGATTTTTTTATTTATTATTGTTTAACAATTAACACAACTTTCAATGTTTTAATAAAAAAATATTCCAACATCGTGTGGACATGTTGCATTTTACCATCTTTTTTTTTTTGGTACCAAAGTGTTTTTAATTGAGGTAGGTATAGAACGCTTAGCCTTGTAAGTAAATCCATGTAGAAGTTATGCATATATTAGCAATTATCATTGTAAACTTACATCCTACTCTGTATGGAGATTGCGAATTTCATTAGAAGGTTATAATTTGGTTTGAATTGTTTGATTTAGTTTATTTTACTTACAAGGAAACAAAAAAGAAAAGAAAATTAATTTTGATTGAAATTAGACAGAAGATTGGACAAAGATTTTAAATTTGTTAGGAAAAAAATGATCTTGATTGAAATTAAACGAAAGATTAGGTAAAAATTTTAGGTTTGACAATTTAATTTAGGTTTGGATTTTTCAATCATTTCGTCATCACGTTCTTATCACGTATGCTTGGATGTCTTGATTTGATTACAAATTAAAAAGTAATTATTGTATTTTAATTGAAAAAAAATTAAGTTCGAATACCAGTATCTGTTTAATCGATAACAGAGGATACTATTCAACCAATTAACTTTTTTTTTAATACAAAAGTTCTCTTAATTAAAATAGGAAAAAAAAGTAAAAAAACACCCTATTACATCAAATTGAAGAATTCGAACTCGGTGTCTCACGAATACATATTATAATAACAGACCAACAGCTTTCTTCCTTGCACTTTTTTTCCTAATGAAATTCGTCGTTGCCCTAGTTGCAGTGAAATAAATAAAAGAGAGAATTGTAATTAACATGCAAAGGAAATCAGTCCATCGAAACAACTGCGACTAACAGTGAGGCAGATCAGCTGGAGGTGGTGGCAAAGTAGAGTCTTTCGTCGGTCCATTCTCAACCACGAAAGCTGTGGCTAATCCCCAGGGCAAGTGCACATCCAGATGACAGTGCATGAACCATACACCTGGATTATTGACTATGAATCTTATGACTGCCCATCCTCCCACTGGCACACCAATAGTGTTACGCGATTGTGGATTTACGAGATTGAACTTCTTAGAGTCTTTTATGGGATCATAATTTCCAAACCCTTGAGCCAACACATGGAAATTGAGACCATGAATATGCATGGGATGATTCTCCACACCGAGAATGGCTGTGTTCTGAAGCACCATTTCCACCGTAGTGTTATACTTCAACACCTTCACGCTTGTTGATTTTGGTGTCAATAACAGGGATGGATTTAGGACGTTGATGCTGTCATTAGTGTAGTCAAATTCGATCGGAGGAGTATCAGGGAAATTAGGAGTGTAGACTTCGCTCACATTGGAAAAGAAGGCTTGCAACACGGACAAACTTGTAGGATTGACAAAAGAGAGATTGTTCATGCTAGCAGCGAGACGTGTCCCATTTAGACAGGTTGGGCAAATGGAGATCCCCAACCCAATTGTCACAAACATGCGCTCATCGATTTTCCGTGGGACTGGAACCCAGTGAGGCCCCCAGCCAAGCCAGTAATGTTGGTGAAAAACTTGTGGGCAGTAGGGGTGTCGTTAAAGGCAGGCAGTAGAGGCATTATGGGAGTTACAGATGTTGGTGCATCTTCATAGACAACAATTCCTCTTGTGGTTGTGTTATCAAACTCTACACCAGCAGCACTAACATATGCGTTTGCAGCCATGTAATAAGAACCCACTTCCTGATCGGTTGCGAGGAGAACATCCACAGTCTGGCCGGGGCCGGTGACAACAACGTCAGTGATGTAAGGCACCGTGTACGAGGCATCAACAGCAACAACTGTCATTTTATGATTGGCTATCTTGAAAAAGAGCTGATTATTGAGTGCAGCGTTGATTATTCGGAGGAGATAAGTCTTTCCTTTCTGCACCTTAAGCTTGAATATTCCTGCGATTGCCAGGACAAAAAATAAACCATAAACAAGAGCCAAACGGTTTCAAATAAAAACGATGAATACTAATGATGATTATAACATCACGAATTTAAATCTTACCACCTTATATTTTTTTAGATAATTATAAAGTCTGATATAGAATAATATAAAATCATTTCTGAAACTTCCTATAATAGTTTAACTTCTTTCATTGAGAAGGTCGTTTAATATTCACTATGATGAAAGCATATCATTACTTACTGTTTTCAGAGCAGTTGTAGAGATCCCCAGGGAGTCCATTTATGGTGTAGGCATCTGAAATGTTAGGTGGTCCACCAGTGGCAAGAGCCTGGCTTTCGACATCAAGAACATTAGCATTCCACCACTCTCCTGCAATCATATAATTAAACATATTTTAATTACCACCATTGGCCATTAATCTTAAACTAAATTCATAATTGATTGAAAAATGATTATGTCATTTTAAATTAAAAAAGCTAATTGGTTATAAAGTATCATGAACTATTAGTTAAAAGAAAACAAATTCCTAATCTTTTTTTTTCTTTCAAATTTAGGTCTCTTTAATCTTTTTTTGATAAACAATTAAATTCTTTTATTTTGTTAACTAATTTCAAACGATATGAGAGGCACGTGGAGTTATTAAAATAACAATATATATTTTAAAAGTTCTAAATATAAGATATATATCATTATTTTATAGTTCTACATGTCTTTCGGGTATGTCTAATGTGATTTAAAATTAATCAACAAGATGAAAAGATTTAATTATAGGCTAAAAAAAGATTAGAGACCTAAATCAGAAAAAAAATTATAGACTTTTTTCATGTTAACTAATATTTCATAATACTTTATAATTAATTAGCTAATTAAAATCATGGGTACCTAACAGAATGGGAACTTCTTTGTCGGGCTTCGGGAAAGGGTAAGGATGGCCGGATCTTGGACGGATAATGAGTGCCCCATAAACTGTTGCTCGGAGCCAACTGCTATGAGCATGCCACCATAGGGTACCTTCTTGCTGGAGGAGTTTAAATTTGTAGGTGTATTTACCTCCAGGGGGTATTGGACATTGAGTTATCATATTAGGTCCATCTGCCCAGGCACTAAGTATCTGAAACACTCCATGCCTGCATAAATAAATAAATAAAATAAACTAAAATAACGATCACAAATTAATTGAATAACGATAATTTTAAAAGAGGATAACAGTGATTATAATGATAGTTATAGAACCAAGTCTTTAATAATTTTTTCAATCATAATTATATTAGCCTACGCAGTAGTTGAAGAATAACTTTCTCAAGCATTCAATTAAAGGTTTTTTTTTTTAATTAAATAACATATAGACAAATCTATCTGAAGAAAAGGATGGTATCTCAGTTGAATTAAAAACAAAGCATAAACTGACTGCTATTGAGAAATTGAACAAGTGATAACATTGTTTTATATAGCAGAATAAGTCATGCAAGAATTATTGAATTGTTGATTTCTGATGAAAATACCTATATAGCTGGGCGATTTGACAGAAAATGTTTAGTTTTAATTATCATAGATCAGAGTTGACAAATCAACATGTTTATTTTCTTATCCACTTGTTAGAACTTTTCTATTTTCCTAGGGGTTTGATATCGTTTTTTTTTTTCTCCTTTCCTTCAAATTTTTAAAACGAAATATGAAAGCTTTTTTGTTTTTGAAAATGTAAAATTGGCAAGAGGTTTTTTAAACTTTTGAAAAGAAAAAAATGTGGTTTTCAAAAAATTTTAAAATAGATATTTTATACATCTAGCTTATAATTTAAGAGTCAGCAAGAAGGGGGGGGGGGGGGGGGGAGGGGAGGAATGGGATGTGGGATTGGTGTCGGGATTCGGATCTAGACCAAGTCGCTGGAGTTTGGGCAGGTATTGGGACCATGGTTTGAATTGAGACCCATGCCAGGTTCAGGTTTGGATCAGGATCGGATTCAGAGCATTCAAATTCAGACATGAACCAAGTTCAGAGAGCCCTGACGCTGAATGGGAACCAAATCCTTAGAACTCGAGGTTCGGATTAAGATCAGGATGGAATCGGAACCAAGACTAGGTCCGAAAGATCAAAATTTTGAATAAAAAAATCAGTTCTAATAACTCAAGTATCCGATTAAAATTAAATACATTTTCTAAAAAAAAAATAATCAACCGTTTTCAAAATTTTTAAAACTAATAAAAAACTAAAAACTAAAACAAAAATATATCAAGCGGTACCTTAACTTCTTAAGTAATTAACCAAGGATTTACCAGTGAACTGTCAAGTTGTAGGGTGACTTGTTAAAAACGTGGACTATAAGGGTGTCACCCTCTCGAACGCGAATTGCTGGGCCAGGCAAGCTTCCATTCACTGCAGTTACCACTTGCTCAGAGCACAGTCGACGAACTGTAAGGTTTTGCACCTAAGAAAATTACAATAAAACAGATCAGTCTGCAAAGGTTTAAGCAACTAGAAAATCTTTTTGCCTATATATTATATACAGCATACTGACGTACTAGGACATGCAAACTTTCGGGCAGGGTTGAATGCTAGCTAGGTCGGTCAATAAGCGACGAAAAAAATGGTCCCACTAGATGATTTAGATCATGGGCAGAAATGTGCGTTGGAAATGTATTGAATTGCCAATGAATTTATAATTCAATTGGCATTCCAGTTTCTTTCCTTTCCAATCGGACATTTTGAGTTCGAATCTCTGTTGTAGTAAAAGAAAAGAGTGTATCCAATCTAGGGACGTGACAGAATCGAAGGTAATATCTTTCCTTGATCCCTTTCATTCAAGCGTGAGCATGATTTTGATCTTAGGAGCTGAAGATGAAACACCAGGTTATGGCTAATTTGGTGAATGTTTTTCCTATGTCAAAAATTCAAGTTAACTATCTAGGAGGATATATATGTAAACTGGGCTACCAATATCCTATCCTCGCCTCTCTGATATCGTGTAATGACCGATTTATCCTCATGCAATCTTTGCATGGAGTAATTGACCAAAACAGTAATCTATTAGGACCAAGATGAAACTTCCTCGACCTCAACAAATAGTATTTGTGCTAATCTGAGTGCAAAGATTACATGGAATGAGTGTTCCACAATTGCAGCAGAAGCTACTGAAGAAGCTAGAACAACCAAAGCAAATGGTAACCAAAATAGAAGACGCAACATGTTTGAAGAGAAAATGAATGAAGCTGTAATTTATAAAAAAGGAGACTTAGCGAATGTTTGTGGTTGCAATTTCGATATATCTGCACAAATATATATACAAGTTTTGAGGGTTATAGATTCTACATGATTGCGTGCTTTAGCAGTTAAATTCTTCTATGGATTTGTTTGCAGGAGATTTGAATATGACAAATTCAATGGGTTAGCAAAAACTTCGTTTTCTAACAGCTTAAGTTAGGCCATCAAAATATACATAAAAAAGTGCAAGTGTTAAGAGTCTTGATTCCTCAAGCAAACCAACATTTTCTAATAGGGGTATTTGTGTTGCGGTCACAAATATTTTTTTTTTTAAATTAATTTCCCCATTCTATATATTCCTTTGCAAAAACAAAACGATTATAGAATAAATATCTGCTATGATTAGTTAAGCCTACAAATTAATAATAAATTTATTTGGAAATTCCGAAACATAATAACAAAGAATTAGGGATGTAATATAGCAGTTAGAGAGTTGTTTTGGTATAGCCATAATTAAGGTTTAATTCTCACTAGTTATGAATAATTAACCATAATTATTTTTTAAAAAACAATCTAGTGATTGATATATATTCTAACATTGCTCTAATAAGAGAAGTAATGATACATAACTGAAATTAAGGATGACCTATGCCGCTACTCGACTTTCGCAGGATTCTCGAAAAAATAATTTTATGATTTTTTTTTAAATTTTTTATTTTGTGGATGTGAGTTATTTTTGAAGTCGTCACCTAGTATTGAATGAATTACAAATCTCAAAGGAGCACTCGTTTACGAGTTTTAGATAAGAAATTGATTATGCTTTTGAAAAAATATCAATCACCCCAAAATATCCTTTTCTAGAAAAGATACCATGTCTAATTTAGTCTTAAAATTTATCTCATAAAATTTTTATTTTTGCCAAACTTAATCCTATTCAAAATTGCAAGTTTTATTTCCAAAGCAAATAAATTTTTCTTATTTTAATTTGTTTATGACATTTATGACATCATATTAAACCAATCATCGAACCCTCTTATCAAGCATCATGTCGATCTAACATCGAATTCGATTAAAGGCTTGACATAACTAGTATGTCATATAACAACCTAATTACTACAACCTAATTGATTTGGATTAATATCGATCACTATTGGATATGAAATTTTATTAACGTTTCACCTATATATATATGCGTGTGTGAAAAATCATCATCGATCCCTAAGAATTAGAAGATTTGATAACTCATCCATCTATTAATTACCTAACTTAGTTATTAAAGTAAATCCTAAAATTAAACATTAACTAAACAAATTCAAGAAATTCAAAATATTAAATCTATATTAAGCATAAAAAAAAAAAACAATATGTATACATAAAAGAAATTCGGGATTAATTTATCCAAAAGAATGGACTAAAATCGAGGTATTGGGCTTTTTAGGGTCGAGTAGGCCCTCGGCCTATAGGGCCAGTAGCCCATTAGGCTAACAACCTCTCCTTTAAAGGATCATGCATCCTATGGAAGTGCGAAATAAAATAAAATTTTTTCTCCATATAAGGCTCATAAGATCAAGTTGTTGAATCAACTAACTATACATACATGAATTAAAGCATAAATCTTCCTTGTAAGTTTAGATTTGTTTCAATTGTGATCCTTAAGAGATCCATTGTAGTCCCTAAACTTTTAATTTTTTCGATTGGATCCTCGTATCTTGTAATTTTAATCCCGTAATTTCCAATTGTTTCAATTATACCCTCAATTACTCTAATTATAATTTTATTTGATTCAATTATGCCCTTGACAATTAAATTCTTTTATATTTTTTATGTTTTTTTGTTGGATTAATTCTAATAAAGTAAAAATAAAATCAAAATCAAAACAAAAATAGAGAGGGGGGGGGGGGGGTTTGGGTTATAACAGCCTAGTTGCCTAAATCCCTTTCTTCTTTGTCTAAAAAACCACTAGTAGTCTCTCTTCCTTAAAAAAAAATAAAATGATTGGTTATGTTAAAGGTTTTTTTTTTTTTTTTTTTTGAATATATTAAAGTATAGAGAGGTCAAAACTGAATTTCAAAATTACAAGAACTAATTTTCAAATTTAAGTTCGAGAGAGATTTTACTAGTTTAGCCTATTTAAAATCAAGTTTTTCTCGCTATTTTTTTTCTAAGTTCAATTCATATTTTGCATATAAAACTTAAATATCTTCTAATTCAACACCCTTTAACCTAACTTATCTAAAAAAAAATTCTATAGCAATAATTTTAAATTCTAGAAATAAAATTTAATATGTTAATTTTAATTCTCCATCTAGAAATTTCTGGTTTTTTTTTTTTTTTTTAAAAAAAGAAGAAGATATTTTAAGGCTAATTTATGTAGGTAGATATATGCATATAGATATATACATACATATATATATATATATACACACACACACACACACACACATAGATATTTTATTTTCTTTTAGGATTTTGTTCATATTTTGTATTAAAAATTAATGAAATGAATTAAATACCTTTGACTTCAATAATCTTCAACCTAATTGATTATTTTATCTAAATAAAATAAAGAAATTTAAAATTTAATATCATAATTTTAATTCTCCATCCAAAAAAATTTGGTTTTTAGGTGTGTATATACATATATGGATGTAGAATTAAAATTATGGTATTAATTTTAAATTTCTTTATTTTATTTTCTAAATTTAAACTTAATTCTATGAAAAAATTTAAAATAATCAATGAGGTTGAAGATTATTGAAGTTGAAGGTATTTAAGTCATTTCATTAATTTTTTAATACAAAATAGAAAATTTTATTTCCTGAAAGCTTTCTTTTTGTTTATCTCCGCCTTTTCAAATGAGTTTTCTTGTTAGTCTTAATAATATGTTGTTAAAAAAAAAAAAAAAAAAAACAGCACAATTCAGTAGAATTAAAGCACAGCATATATATATATGTGTGTGTGTCCAAGTTCATCACTTGAGTTTAAATTTATAAAATTAATCTAGACCAAAGCTAACCGCATATCAAAATCTTTGAAAAATACAATGCATACGAAAGTATTGGAAAGTTTTATCTTGCCAGCTTGCTCTACTTAATTTGATTAGCCACGGTTTCTCTCAATATCTCTTCCAAGTAAAAAAAGACTTAAAAAGTCCCAATAACACTAGTTATCCATTATTCTAGAATATTGACTGAACATTCTAATTCTTTATGCCTTCGTTTCTTTTATAATTTATGAAGAAATATTTGCTCCAGTCAAATCTGCATGGATCCATCATCCACCTGTCGAATCTCCATAATATCTAAAATTAAATTTTTAGATCAAAAGTGGAGAATACCAGCGCGCACGCGCGCATATATATATATAAAACTCAATCAACCACGGAAGCTGCTTGAGAATTTGGCCAATGACAAAATCTGATTTTGTTTTTGACTAATTAAGAACATGTAATAAAAAAACATAATAAGCGGGCACGGTACTTCTGGTAGTGGATAGTTGGAGAACAAACAACTCTACGTGTTGTTTTAATTATTACAAATATTCTCGTTACTCTAAAGAAATCGTGTATATTTTTATTTATATCTGCTGCAAATTATTTATCTAGTTAAAATTTTAAATAATTTTTTTATTAAATATCTCTAATTAAAATCTATTTTGTAATTTTTTTTAAAAAAAGCATGAATAAAATGCACTGAAATGGGATAAGAATTGATAATTTTTTATTCTGTATCAAAATTCTAAGAAAACAATTTTTTGGAAAGATAGTACTAATTAAAGTATCAGGTCTCATCGAGTCGTTATCTTTCTCTTCAGAAGCTTCTAATATATTTCATTGATTATAAATTTTTATAAGATAAAAATACAAAGAATTCAGTAAGAGAAACGTTTAGGAGTAGTTCTCGTGTATTAGGTAGTCGGTTGACTATATTGTTTTTTAATTTCCAGATAGATGAAAGCTGGACACTAGCCTTGGCCTTCAAGACACTCTTTCATATATATATATATACTTGAATTGATTTTGGGATCAATCAAAATTAAATCAACTATTTTTTAGATTAAACTAGTACTTAGATATGTTAGACTATAAGAAAATAGGTAATTAGCGGCAAATTTTTTCGTCACTAATAAGCAAAACTACATTACTAAATCAACATAGTGACGACAATAATCGTTGTCGCTAAAACACTTGTTGCTAAACTTAGCAACGGCAAAAATCATTCCGTCGCTATTATAACAATGAAAATTTCGTCCTAAAATTAAAACTTCCGTCGTTATATTGGTTACCACAAAACGTCATCGCTATTCCGTCGTTAGTTCCATCGCCGATTAATGACCGACATGCCGTCGTTAATATCCGAAGCTAATAATCACCATCACTAAACCGTCGATATTTTGTCGTTAGAGGTTGACCAAATCCGTTACAAAGTCGTTGCTAGCAACATGGAAATTTATAGACAATCCGTCTCTAATTATATATTTCAAAAAATATACATATATATATATTTTTTTTAATATTTTTTTTGTTTATTTTTAAATTAATAATATTCTAGGTAGAAAACAAATTCAGTATTACATAATTAACAATTAGAAGAAATAACTCATAATTTAAATATTATAAATTAAATATAAATTAATATTAAGGGAAAAAAATTCGGTAGTTTGTATGAAAAAAAAACAAATTTCCATGTCGCTCTAATAAGTGCCTCGATTGTTGAATCCTAATCAAAATATTTCTACATGAATAAAATAATTAATATTAACAACTTCATTTAATGAAAAATTTTTAATTTAATAATAAAGAAAATTAATAATACTTTACCCTAAATTTACTCAAGTAGAATTGTTTAATGAGGTTCGACACTAACTTCCACATCAAACTAACATCCAAGCACTCTTTAAAAGTCATGGTTATCTTCGAGATATAATCTCTACTAGGTAGAGTTAAACTATCAATCATCAAAATAAAAAGAAAATTTAAAAAACAC